TACTCCCTGTCCCACTTCTGAACAGATTTACTCTGATAGGCTTTGGGGAAAAGACCTTTACTCAGACAGCATGATTCAGCTGTTATCTGTAAACACATTCATAAGCAAGCTGGCTCTCAGCCTTCAGAATTTTGATTTAGTTAAGTACCCTTTCTTTCTGCTCTCTTTTCTTACATACTGGTATATAGGCCAGACACCTGGCTTCTGTGTGTTTGAGAGATTAAAGGCCAGTAAAGCACCAAGATTTTCATGAGAACCTCCACTCCTCGTCAGCCATTATTGACCTTTTGCTTTCTTAGCCCCTGTATTTCCTGGGAGGCTCTTGTGTTAGAGTCCTGAGCACTGCAGGAAGTTGGCAGGCACATCCTGTACGAACTTGCTCCTCAAAGGATGGCCTGCAGACCAGCAGTAGCATTACCTGGGAGCTTGTTAGACGTGCAGAACCTGGGCCCACCCAGACCTGCTGCATCAGAGTCTGCAGGTGAATCACATCCCTGCGGAAGTTGCAGAAGCACTGGTTTCAGAACACAGCATCCTCAGGAGGTAGGGCAGCTCCTGCCCCAAACATCCCCGTGGCTGTCCTTTAAACGTGCCTTGGGAGGAGTCGCAGGTCAGGGCACCAACCAGCTGCGGGCTGTGCCTTCACGGGGGCTCTGCGGCAGTGTTGCTCTCTTCTGCCTTCTCAGGAGGGATGCATATGGTGGATGGTAGCTCTTCCCCCAGTTGACATGTAAAACATCTGGAGACCTGGGGTGTCGCTTCCACAGTCATTAGGTTCTCAGCAAGTGACACTGGTGTCCCTTCCAGGAGCAGTATGCCCCCTTTGTGTGCATTCCCAGTACTCCTCCCATATCTGCTAGGGAATGCCACTCGGCTTTGTTTATTCCTCCTCCTCCCTGCGTTAAACTGTACAGTTCCTTGTGACTCAGAAACATGTTTCATAGAGTTTTGACAATTCCACACCTAGCCTAGTGCCTAGCATTTAACACATGAAAGAAGGAAGGAAGGGAGGGAGGGGAGGACTGGGAAATAGGACTGAGTTGAAGGGAACTACGGTACACATGTGTTCTGGAAGTTAGTATAGAGCAGAAGTATATAGAGAGGTGAGTGGTCAGAAAGATAAAAGAAAAAAAATCTCAGGGAGGTGGAGGTGAAACAGTTGGGTTATAGATGAGGGGAGAGATCAAGAACTAGGGCCACTTAAATGTAAGTGTGGAGCCAACATGTGCATTGGTCTGACATGTGGCCTCCACCACCTCCTGTACCACCTGCTTTTACCACCCTAAGAGGACGTGCTAGGAGAGCTCCCAATCCCTGCATAGGAAGCCCAACTCCCAAGTCCACAGGGACACAAGCTGGAGCTCAGAGAAGTGCAGTGACCTGCTCACAGTTACAGAGATAGCTGGTGGCAGAACCAGAACAAGAAACCAATAGAAAAGGGCACAATCTGGATCTTCTAACCTGTCTTTCCAGGCCAGGAGTGCAGGCCAGTTTTGTGTCTTGGACATCGCCTTTGGTCCGCATTCTTGTTCCACTGCTGGAAGGAGCAGGGACTCCTCGTGCACAGCAGAGCTGGGCCTCATGGCTCTGCCCTGCCTAGACCTAGACCATATACTTGCCATGGGAACTGAACAGCCTAAGGCCTTCAGGTGTTGGTAGTATCCAAATGCCTGTAGCCTTCACAAGAAAACATTTTTGCAGAAATTACCAGATTTGTAAAGATAAGCAAACTCTAATCTATAGAAAACATCAAGAAATTGGAGGCAAAATGTTGTAATTAAGAAACATTGAGCTGATAGAGTTATTAGGAAGCCAGCAAATTGATCCTTCAATCTCCAACCTTAAGTGAGAACAGGTCTACTCTGTGCTCAAAGCTTCTCAAAGAAGAAACTTCAGTCTTTTTCTTTCACTCGTTATAGCAGCTGAATACTTTTGCTGGAACCAATCCCAGTAAGAGATGTGAGGATGCTCCTGCCTCTTAGTAGGTCTCTTCTCCTTTCTGAAAAATGGTCTTCTATCCTCCACCCTCTCACTCCCAAGCCCTGAAGTAGGACCCTGTCACCTCCCAGGACCTAGACGTTATTTACCGGCAAAGGAAATAGATTAGACTGCTATTCCCACCCTACTAATGGATATGACCTTGGGTAGTTCTTTAACCTCTCTTTGCTCATGTCAAAAATAAGTAGCCTGGATAACCTCTAAAAACCTTCCAACTCCAAAAATCTAATCCTCTAATTTGCCAGTGGGATAACTTCTAAGACTTATTTCTTCTTTACGGCATTATAATTTTTGTACAAAATAAAATGGCAAAAATACCTGTGCGAAAGAACAGACTTACATGATGAAATTACACTTTGGAGGTGGTATTTTGGGGCCAGACATTATATAGGCAATGTATTCTCTCTACTCATAAGGAGCTCCACTCATCATGACAACTATTTTCATATTTGTGAAAAGAAGCCAAGAACTGGATCTGAACTAACTGTGATACCCAGTATTTGAAGAGATCTTCACTTATGTCATTGACTGTGAATACATGAATATGCTTGCAGAGCACAGTATTATATTATTAGCAGGAGGTATTAAATACATCATTTAGTATTAGAGGTATTAGTCTTGAGCATTAGGGCAGATTAGTATCAGATGTACTAGTCCTTTGGAGTTATAATTAAGGCTTGAATTCCTGACTCTTATCTTCAGCAACTGAATTGTGATACAGCTTTTAATTCCACAGTGAGTTCACCGACATTGAAGTCACCAACACTGACAATCTGGTGCTAATTAATTAATGACAATTACTTATTTACAATTGTGTCTGAAAATATGTGGTTTCATTATCTTCTGATTACTATACTCTTAAGGTGGTAATTTTGACTGAACCTTTTTTTATCAGGGTATTTCTCAGCCTAAATTTCTGGGAAACTCTATGCTGAATTGATGTTTCAAGTCTTTAGATGTCTCTTAAGGAATCCTGCCCATCCTTTATTCCCCCCACCCCCCTTCCTTCATCCACCTTCTAGAAGCAGTCTTTGGTCTGCTGCTTTGACCCAGGCTTTTCAACACCAGACACCCCATCACTGTCTCAGAACAGAGGAGTCCAGCATCCATCATGGATAATGGATGTGTAGGCCAAATATAAACATTTCTACTATGGTCATTAATCAATAATGCCTTTTAGGCCTTCTGTCAATATTGTACTTGCATCTGGGCTCAGAGGGGCACTCCTAAATATTTGCCAGTGTGTTACAGTACTTTCAGATGGAATTGATACACTCAGCTTCACAGTTTAAACCTTCAAGCAGGCAACAAGTGGAAGTCTTAAAACTGGATGCTTGTATTTCTGAACCCATAACACATCACATGCTCATCTTCCCAGAGCCTTCCTAAGACAAGGAGTCTGAGACAAGGACTCACAACATCCTTCCTGATAACTCTGTTGGTGTGTTTCTCCTCCAGACGAGATTCTGATTCAGAGACTGACAGCTGAGGTTCCCCTCCCTTCCACTGTGGAACTGGCCTAGGCGGGACGTGAGCCCTGATATACTGACTCAGTTCCCACCAGAGCAATTGCCGTCATGCTATTGAGGGTCCACACTGCTAACTTCCTGCACAGCATATTACTGATTGCTTTCCTCCCCACTCTGAATGCTACTGTGCGCGGTGTGCTGTTAATTTGTAGGTGAAAGCCTTTGGCCACCCACTCCTACAGAATGTAGACATGTGCACTCAGAGTGTTAAAATCAGACTCTGACATCTTTCTTACCCCTCTGAAGCCGCATCACTGGGAGGTATCAAACCCTGGCCACCACTTGCAGCCCCCTTCCCAACAGAAGCACACTCCTAGCACATCAGCACCTGCAGAGGCAAAGAGAACAGCTGGTTCTGTCTCCACAGATGAAGGGCGGGATACAAACTCCCAAAGAAAGCCGTGACTCAACTATAAATGGCCAATACCTGTGTTCATTCCTAGGTCATCCCATCACTCTGGATTTCTACCCTAGAAGCCTTCAGGGAAGTTGTGAAGAAAGAAATGCCCCGGGCGGCATCTACCAAGGATTTCAGGTCCTAGTGGATTGAAAAAGCTGGTACGATGATTAAATGTAATGCTACATTCTTCTCTGTGCAACAATAAACATAGAAGGCTCTTAGGCAGAGAAACATGATCCTCTTTTCTGTCTCCCAGTCCATTTTCTACCAGCTGAGGTGTACCACAGGTAGAAAATGAAGTACTTAGTATTTATGTGGTGACTTTCACCTGAATAAACTGGGGGTTGTCATGTCTATGCTTTGTACTTGGAAAATAGAGAAGTGGTTCTCCAAGATTTGCTCTGAAATGTTTCTCAATCCACCTGGAAGAGGCCCTAAGGGGAGAATGATGCATTGTTCTGCATGGTGTACATCAAAACTTCTTAGGCTCTGGGAAAGTGGTAATCAGACAGAATGGAGAAAGCCAATGCTATGTCTGCAGCTTTCCCAGATTTCCTCAAAAGACAATCCCAGACCATAAGATGCAGAATATGGGCAGTTCTCCTATTGTCCATAGCAGTGTGGGGAAGAGGAGTCCCCTTTAGCAGGTATTTGCTCCAGAGCAAAGAAGGCAGTTCCCCTTGTCAGCAAGAACTTTCATATTGCCCCCCTGAAAGTGGGAGATCCTGGCTGTTGGACCCGTGCTGGTGATCACACCTGGGAAAGGGGGCAGGTAACCAGATAACCAGGAGAGTTCTGCCTCTGTCCATCCTTCCTTTCATCCCCTACCTGCCTCTCTCTTGTTTCTGTGTGTGTGAGTGTCTGTCTGTCTCTCTTATACACACACACATGCACACACCCCAGTCCAGCCAGACGTGCCTCCCCTTGCGGATACACCAGTCAGACAGCCTCCCACACAGCAGTGTGCACCGTCCATGGACAGCCACGTACCACACACCAGCCATTAGAAAAAAAAAAGGCCAGGCGACCCAGGGACCTATACTTTTTTTCTCTTTTCTCCCTCATTTTTTTCCCCTAAAAAAAGCCTTCTTTAAAAAATATATTAAACCAGGTAAATTTTTACTCATGTTCATGTGGCTGAAGCAGATTGACAAGGAAAACAGTCACAAAATAAATATTTTGTTTGTTTTTTAAAAAGAACATTGCCCTATACATTGTCTCTCTCTGATTTGACAGAGCTGCTTTCTTAGACAGATCAGGTGCTTCTTGAAAGAGGAGCTCTGGCTGGACCAGGGGAATGTGGAGCAAGCCAGGGCCCTGAAACTGGGGAGGACAGGGAAGCGAGGGGGCTGGTGGGAGGATGGGGTGACGAGGCAGAGCATGCCCGCCTGCCCTGAGCGGGGCTCTGTTGGGGTCACTTTTTGAGTTTTCCAAGGGAGCCGGCCTGAGGAGCAGTCAGTGTCTGGGAGGGTTGTGGGTTGTGGCTTGCGGGGCATGGGGGGCAGCACACAAAAAGTAAGAACCAGTGTGGAATATCACGAAACAACGCATTTTAAGAAATTTGGTTAAAAAGAATACAAAAGTGACTCCACAGAGGGAGAGGAAGAGCTGGTACCCCTCCCATTGTTGTCCCCACTTGCTTTCTTGATTGGTAAGAATCGCTTTTAAGGATCTGTTGTTTCATGGTTTGGCTGGCTCCTGTTCCTCGTCTCTCCATTGGTTGGTTGCTCTCCTTCAGTTGCATTCATTTGAGGAAGCACTGACTTTACAGATTCAAGGCTGCGGAGTTGTAGCTTTCCCGGGTGAGTGGGTGTGTCTGTGTGTGTGTGTGTGTGTGTGAGTTCACACGTGTGGTATGTGCATGTGTGCAGCAGCTGTGTCTTTCTCTCCTGCCTGCTCAGTCCAAGCCCCAAGGTCCTGTCGGCTGGATGCTAGAAGTCTCAAAGGGAGCACCCTGTTGGCACTAGGTGAGGGCTTGAGCGATCTTCACACCCGGATTCATGGATCCCCTCCCTGTCCAGCACTGGCGCAGACCCCCCATTAGCTACAGAGTTTGCCTGTCTCATACTCCACGGGGTTTGGCAGCTTGGAATTGAAAGCCCTCAGAGAGGCCTGGATCCTGCCCACCTCATTGTTGGCTAGCTTGAGCCGATGCCGGAGCAAGCAGGAGAAGAGGTCAAGCCGGACTTTGCCAGGTGGAGAAAGCTGGTTTACCCTGTCCCTAAGCTCTATGAGCTGCAAGAGGGCAGAGTCCTGGGAACCTTGAGTGTACGGGTAGTCTAATTGGAGAATTAAGTCCCGGATAGCATCCGGGTCAAAGGGCAGGCTGTAGCCAAAGACCTGCAGTGTGTTGATTTTCATGTAGCCCAAGTTCTTGGAGGGATCTGTCATCTCCAGGGGCTCATAGTAGATTGTCTCATTGGAGCTGTCATCCAGGGACTTGATTCGGCTCCGTAGGTAAACATGGACTGTCTCAAAGAAGGTCTTCCACCTGTTGCCCAAAGTGATAGTCCAGTTTTGGCACTGGGCAGCTGCATCCACATTAGTCCTTTCCCAGTAGGGGAAGTCAGCCTCATTCACGGGCATGAACCAGCTCTCAGAGTGGCTGCCCCCAAAGGGGTTGACATAGATGGCCATGACAGGCTCCAGGGTGCTGTTCTTGGTGAGGCAGATCTGCAGGGACAAGGCCAGCATCACATGCACCAGCCCAGGCTTATACTTGTTGCTCTTCAGCGTGAGCAGCATGCGCTTCCTCCAGGAAGGGTCGAACCAGCTGCCCAGGCGCATGTCATTGCTGATGAAGATGGCGTGTACCTCGATGCGGCTGTCCCACTTCTGCAGCAAGTACTTCAGCTCCAGGTCCTGCAGGTCTGTCTCCAGCCCCAGAAAGTTCTCCAGGGACTCGGCCACCTCTGGCCGGCACAGCCCCTGGGCAAGCACGTAGCCTGGGTTGCAGCTCCCACAACGTGTGCTGTTTTCTGGAGCACAGTGAGCACATGCAGACCCTTCACCCAAGGCACAAGGGATGGGGCCCTGGCAGGAAGCGTGGTCATAGGGGCAGGTGCAGCTGTGGCTCTGTTCCAGGAAGGTGCCAGGGAAGGTGCTTTCTCCACAGTAGAGAAGGGACTGGATTCGGTTCCACCAGTAGGACAGGGACCTTGTGGGAAGAGATAAAAATGAAGGAAGAGTCATAGGATGCCAGACACTGTCATCTTCCCTGAGGGTGGTGGAATTGACTAACAAGCAGAGAGCCAATGAGGAAGATAAATGCCTCCAGTTCTCTGAATGCCCCATCGTACCATTGTGGAATGGTGGAGTAGGGCCTGGAGTTTAGTGTCTGATGGATCAGCACCAGAAATACTTGACATCTTTCACTGCAGGGAGCCAGGCTCATCCCTCCCCAGTACCACCTTATTCCCTTATCCGAAGCCCACAGAAAGTCTCCAACATCTTTTGTATCAGATCTAGTTCTCAGCCTTCTAATAGGGTGTTCCAACAACTGGCTCTCCAAACTTCCCAACGTTGTGCCAGCTTCTTCCCACTTCATGGGCTCTGTCCTTGGCATCCTCTTTGCTTCTGTCACTCTCCCACCAAGAACAGGAGTTCGCTATGCCTGGCTCCCTCTTAAGATTCAGATATCACCCCAATGACACCTCATCAAAGAGGTCCTCCCAGACACCCTTCCCAAAAGAACCAGCCAGGCCCTCTCTCACTGCACCCTGCTTTTATGGAATCCACAGCAATGATCAGTATTTGAAAGTACTGTGTTTACTTATTGTGTTCTTGTTCACAGACAGCTTACCCGCAAATGCTGTGAGAGCAGGGACATCGCATTACACACCAGTGGATTTTCAGAAAGTACTATTGCTCCTGGTGCATGGTAAGCATTTAGTAATCATTTGTTGAAAACAAAATAACAACTCCCCATCCAAAGCCTTGCTGGTCTGTCCTGTCCACTCACGCTTCCCTTTTCACTGAGGCCTCAGCTAAGAGTCACACCTTGGGGCTGCTGTGAGGGCAGACGTCCCCTCCTGGAATGTTCCATCTGACATGCACCAGCCCATTTCCATCTCCTCCCACACAATCTGGCCAAGGCTGCTTTCTCCAATGTGGCTTTGCTCTCTGGCCTTTTCTTTTACTAGACCGTGCTTTTGATTTATGCTCCAGGAACATGAATGTAAGTAGCTACTACATAGTTAGGATTTTATGGTTTTTATGTTTCTGTGTATTTATTTTATCTTCCCAATTAACAAATATCCCCCTGTGCATAATATAGAATGTGCAGTGTGGTCTTAATAAAAACTTGTTGACTAAATGAGTGAGGGCGGGCCTAGGACAATATAGGCCCATGTTCCCCAGGGCACAGGGCCTCAGCCTTCTGCCTCTGTGACTCATAGCAGCTGCTTGTTCACACCAATTCAATGTGTGTGTGTCTCATCAGATGCAATGGGTGTATAAGCTTATTCCACCCCTTTCTTTCCTAAAAGACTACTAAAGTGAGATTAAAGTATTATTAGAATAATATTGGAATCCAATCTAATTTGTTTAAAAGGAAAATTAGCTTCTTTTCTCTCTCTCACTTCAGACACAACATGTCACTGAGAATGACACGAGTAGGTCAGAGAACAAGAGGATGTAAAAGGCCACATGTGAGCCGCCGCTCCCAGATCTCCCAGGTTGGGGGGCGCTCTCTGGGGAAGTGCTGAGCTCCGGCTGCAGCGGCAGCGTGCTCACCTCTCCTTGGGCAGGCGGAAGCGCGGCTGCCGGTGGCAGCGCTGGCACAGGCTGAAGAGCCTGCGGACCAGGCGGCGGGTCTTCTTGAACAGCACCTTCAAGCTGGCCGCCAGCTGCCGGTAGCGATGCTGCAGGCCGGCGTCCAGGGCCCAAAACTGGGAGATGGCTGTGGCGTTCAGAAACCTGTCTTCTGGCAGCCTCTTCAGCAGGGCCTGGAATTCCTCTGTGAGCAAGGACACAAGGG